CCATTGCTTGCTCCCTGACAGCATTGTCCCCTTCATTTCGTCTCCCCCGGTACCACAGGGGATTTTCTTCCCCTGTTTGCTCTACTCTATTCTGCTTCTTTTTTCTTTGCTGATCTCCTCATCCATCTCTCATGCTGACTGAGACCTTAATGTGGGTTTGCGTGCTCTTGTGCATGCCATTGACTTCTTGCTCTTTGCACTACCTTTCTTTCAAGACTTATTTCCTCCTCCTTATTGTCTGTGGTTGCCATAATTTGGATGTCTATGCTATTAATGCTTTTCGCACCCTCTTCCACCACACTTATATACTCTTCTACTCAGACAGGCCTTTACATCCTAAGACTTCTACACTCGGGAAGGTAACCAACTTTCTCTTATATCTCTTTTCCTTCTATATCTCTCACCACTATGATTATTCAGACCTAGGTCAGTTCCTATGTCCTGTTTGGTGGACTTCTCCCTTTTAGGGTCCCTGCCTTAGAATCCCTCTTCTTTCAGGGACCTCTTTTTCTTCTAACACTACTGAATGGGTCTTTAATGTCTCCAGTTGGTATATTCTTTCCTGGATATGGGTGCTTGCAGGCTATTTTACATTTCTTCACATCAGGTTCATCCCCTGTCTCCATATAGATGACTCCATCTATGTTTGTCTCTTATTATCTTCATCACCTGGCTGTTTCATCACCCATAGGATTTAAACTTCCCCCAGATGCCATTCTTCAATCAACCCACTGTCTTTGAAATGGGTAAGTATGTTTCTTATTCATTTTCTCTCCCTTTCATCACTCAGGATCCTGCAAAGTGGTTAGTGTTGTCTCCCAGGATATGCTTATTTCCCAAAATTCAGGGGTAATGGAAAGCACTCAAATCATCTGCCTTGACTCTGCCAGTGCCCACTGCAAGATGAGGTATCCACCATATCACTAGAAGTATCCACATGGTGTACAAATTTATTCAATTGTCCTATATAGACTGTACAAATTCCATGGACTATTGTGGAAAAAGCAGGCACGTAGGAAGTGAGTGTCCTGACTGCCCGCTTCTTTGGTTTGCACTTGGAAGCTTTTAAAAATTGGGTTTCATTGTCACCCATTGCACTGTTTCCAGTAAAAGACCCTTCTGATTAGTGGTCCAAAGAGGAACCTGGCTCTTCTCTGCCAAATTCTCCCCCTCCCTCTTCTTCAGTGGAGGAGGAGAGACCCTTGTCACTTACCAGTTCCTAGCTTCTAGGGTAGTGGACCATGGAGAGTCCTCACTGATGAGCTTATTGCAATATGGTGAGAAGTAGGGTGGTGGTGACACTGTCAGTGTATTATGGGTTTCCCCCTCACACAAATAGTGTGCTTTCCTCATGCAACCAGAGTCTATTCATTAGAGTTGAGGTGAGCACACACTGTACAGTCTGATTGTGCTGGTCATTACACTATATATATTGGCTCACCAACCACATTCAGTGCATCCCTGTGACACTTCAGGTTCTTTTCCCTTTATGTCACTTTTATCTCAGGTCAAGGGTATACAAGATGCACTCTTGTGAGATTCTAACATTCCTATGTGTCTCTGTGTCTCAGAAGTTAAGTAACATTTTCATATTTGAAAATGTATTTCTGACAGATATCTCCATGCAACTGCCCACCCATCCTCCCCAATTCCAGTGCACCATTTTCCTTGCCTTGTCTAAGAATGAAGTTATCAAGAATGCAAGTGCTAAGGGGAGTTATTGAGCATGGAGGTTGTATCACCCTCCTATTGGCAGAGGGCTGTTGTTGCATGATGACATCATAAGGAACCATCACATATAGTGTACATTTATGTGGAAATTAGCTTAAGGCTAGTGGCATACAAATCTTGTAGACAAGATGCACAATGGAAATAGTATTTCTGTGTGAAGAGGTGAGTATCTATCGAAAATACGTTTTCAGATTAGAAAAATGTTAAAATTTGTTGCTTTAGTGTTGTTTTTGGATGTCAGAGCATCTTAAGAGAGACTAAATATGCCTGGTTGTGCTGTGTAGTTGCAGCTTTTCTTGTTTGTGTGTACTAAGTATCTCTATACTATTAACCTAATTAGAAAGCATGTTCTTTCAAAAACTTTATTTCTTCTTTCTTTTTTTGAGGTGTCTGCTTTAAAAATACTTAAAAATAAATAATTTTTACAGAATGTGTATTCAGGATTCTATGCTGTACTGTAATGAAGATAATGATCATGGCAAGCAAACCATGATCAAAACTATTTGGCAAAATACAGTAGTTCACATGATTTAGTTGAATTTTTGTATTTTATTTATGCAGGGAATAAGACGTGGAGTAGCATATTGAAAATAAAATAAATCTGCATGAGAACGTATTTATTTGTAATTTACCTTGTAAAAACTAGAGTCTTTGGGCATGTAAACCTAGTGAAAAAAGTCTGGCCAAAGTTATCTTTAATATATATTACATATTACATTGAGTATGATATAATTGACATCCAAAGCATCAGAAACAATTGATTAAAAAGAAGGATGGAAATGATGGAATAAAAAAACAGTTTTACTATACATATTTTGAATAATTAACAAATGTTAATATAATGTTTTGGAACAACATGGGATCTATTGGTCCATCTTGGCTGTTCCATCTTCTTAATTAAACTAAAACTATTAATAAATAAAAAATCTTAAAACTAGCCCATATCATGCATTTACTTATCAAGCTTTTTCATAAACACAGTTAAATTTACTGCTTCCATAACATTCTAAGGCAACCCATTCCAGAAGCCAACC